CAGCCTTCCAAGTAGCTGGAACTACAGGTGTGTGCTACCACGCCCGGCGAATTTTTTGATTTATTGTAGAGATGAGGTCTCGCCAAGTTGCCCAGGCGGGTCTCGGACCCATGGGCTCTGGCAATCCACTCACCTCAGACTCCCAAGATGCAGGATTACAGGCTGAGCCACCAAGCCCGGCTTAGATGATATCTTTAAGGCACTGAACTCTAAACTGCCAGTTGCCACCAAGGTAAAGAATCTAGAAGTTGTTTTAGATGATCCCTTCAAGACATCAGCTCTTCTACAGTCCACAAGGCCAGCGAAAGTTCTGGCAGTTCAGAATAAAGACAGATCGTCAGCCTCAACAAAATTTCCAGACTCCCCTCTTAGGCTCAGTGTGCGCTGTTGATCACTGCGTCCTAAGAAAAAGAAGAGCCAGAAAAAGGTAGGTAAAATGATTTTAAAAATAGAGGGACATTTGTTTGATAGATTAAATGTCCATAAAGAAGATAAGATGAACGTCTATAAAAGCATGAAAGATTCACAGAGTAAAAAATAGACCTTCTCATTCTATCCTATGCGTCTAAAATTAGGGGCCAAAAGAAGCTTGAAAGTGGGGTAATGTTTATAAGAAAGAGGTCATTGGGACATATAAAAGAAGGTCCTTCTTTAAATAGGGTGTCCTTAAGTATTCTCCCATATGTTGAAGAACATATGGTAGAAGTACATGTGGCAGGGAACAACCAGTCCACCTCAACAGTCCTTTGTTGGGACAAAAACTACTCTGGACTGGTGCCTGCTTTGCCTCTCCTCCCAAGTCACCATGGAATACAACTACAGAAACTCAAAAAGAACAACAACAACAACACCACCAAAACACCAAAACATTCAAAGGATTCAAAATGTTAATATTCAGTTTCATTCTGTGTGAAAATTAGATTGAAAATAAATTCAAGTGTGAAAGATTTATCATAGATTAGCAAGGGAAATTAAGGATGTTGGGCAGGGGAATACATCCTTTTTGTTTTTTGTTTTTTGAGTTGGAGTCTCACTCTGTTGCCCAGGCTGGAGTGCAGGCTCAGGCGATCCTTCTACCTCAGCCTTCCAAGTAGCAGGAACTACAGGTGCGTGCCACCATACCCAGCTAATGTGATTTATTGTAGAAATCAGGTCTCACCAAGTTGCCCAGGCTGGTCTAGAACCCCTGGGCTCAGGCAATCCTCTAGCCTCCACTTCCCAAAGTGCTGGGATTACAGGCGTGAGCCACTCCAACCAGCTGGAAATACATTCTTAATCTTTGTGATTCACACTGTGGAGATATGTCCTCAAAAGAAATGGTACTTGATAATCAGAATTGGGTGGATAAAACATTTCCTAAACACTGTTAGCATCTGGGTTCTCATAGTCAGAAAGTGAGAGTTATTCACTGAAACAGGATTATACTATTTGAGTTTCACCCACAGCACAAGTTCTTCAATAGTTTTCCGTTAACAGAGAAGAGGGAGTCTGATGAACCATTACTCACTGTTAGCAACCGCCAATCCCTACTTATTTTCCTTTATAGAAAAACAAATCAGGATCTAAGGGAAACAAGGAAGGGGAGAATAAAAACCAAAGTGTCACAGGGTTGAAGGATGTTAAAAATAGGCCACAACCAATACATAGGCTTTTACTTTTTTTTTTTTTTTTGAGTTGGAGTTTCACTCTGTCCCCCATGCTGGAGTGGCACACTCACAGCCACCCCAGCAACAACCTATTGGGCTTTGGTGATCCTTCCACCTCAGTCTTCCAAGTAGTGGGAACTACAGGCACGTGCTACCACCCTGACTAATTTTTTATTTATTGTAGAGACTAGTTCTCGCTAAGTTGCCGGGGCTGTCTCCAACTCGCGGGTTCAGACAATTCACTCGCCTTGGCCTCCCAAAGTGCTGGGATTACAGGCTGAGCCGAGTCCGGTCAGTTTCTACTTTTAAGTTAAAGTTAAACACACACACACACACACACACGGGAGTGGTGGGTACACTTAAAGCCCAGATTTCTTCTTATTTTTTTGAATTGGAGTCTCACTCTGTTGCCCAGACTGTAGTGCACACTTACAGCCACCGCAGCCTTGACCTGCTGGGCTCAAGCGATCCTTCAGACTCAACCTTCCAACTAGCAGGAACTACAGGTGCGCACCACCACGCCCGGCTAATATTTTGATTTATTGTAGAGACGAGGTCCCACCAAGTTGCCCGGGCTGGTCTCGAACACCTGGACTCAGGCAATGCTCTCGCCTTGGGCCCCAGACTTCTTCGACACTATACAAGGCAACCATGTAATCAGTAACTATATGTACTCCCTAAAGCTATTGAAAAAAAATTAAAAATACATATTATCTTCTCTCCTTCTAAAAAAAAAAAAAAAAAAAAGGACTCAGGAACTTCATTCCTCGTAAAGCAAACAATCCCCTTTCATCCTTCCAATAGGTCCTTTTCTTTACCTGTTTTTTCCCTTCGGGTGGTAGGAACTTTCGGCCCCGCCTCCCTGCTCGTCCAAGCTCCGCCTTCCCAGTCCACCTGTGTGCCCAGCCTCTGACGTCACTATTTGGCTTCAGAGGCCTATAGGATTCCGGCTTCTGATTGGTGCTCCCGTCCACGGCTTGCGCAGTCCACCAATGGCAGCGGCGCAGGGTGGAGGGGTGCCCACATCCAAGATGGCGCCCCAGGGAGCTGGGAGCGGGTGACCGGCGGCGGGGAAGCGGCCTGGGTTGGCCCTCAGATTGTGGGGTCCAGGGGGCATCTCCCCCTGGCCCGCCTACAAGACCTTCCCCTGGCCAAAGCAATGGCCGCCGAGAACAGCAAGCAATTTTGGAAGAGGAGCGCTAAGCTGCCGGGGAGGTGAGCGCAGGACGCTGAGAGGGAGAGGAGCTTTGACCAAACCCTCCCAGATCCTAATCCCTACATCCCGCGGGCCTGGGGTTCCACCGAAGCCGGAAGACCGGTTTGGGGGAACCCGGGCCGGGAAAACTAGGGCTGCCTGGTGGCAACGGCACAGCTGTCAGGCAGAAGAACTGGCAGCGAGCTTTGGGGACGGCCGGGTGTGGGTGCGGACCGGGGTCTGGGGGCGGAAGTCTCAGGAGGGATGACCTCAACTGGAAGGTGGCCCAAGACTGGGCGTAAGGGGCAGTGGAGTTGGGTGAGTAGCCAGTGTTGATCCTGGGTTTAGATGGCCATGCCCAGAGCTGCTCCCCACACTGAACTGAACTCCCTCTCAGGGGTCTCCACTACACACAGGTGGTTGCTTGCGTGAGAATGGCCCTTCCCCTGCACCCCAGCTCGGTACGTTCCCAAAGGTTGCTAGTGGGAGCTTGGGACCGCCTGCCGAGGTGGGTGGGCAGGAAAAGCGAGGACAATTCTCAAGCCTGACCTTACTTTATCTTGAGTTGGCTCTTTCCCATTGGGAATTAGTACATGGTAACCACAAAATCGGGGTCATTCCTTCTGCATTTTCTAAGAATTTGTCCAACCCCAAGTGATCTCTTCCTCCCCTGCGTTGTAATGCCCTTTTGTGCAAATGCACTAAATTCTTTCTTTCTTCAGTTGTTTAATTGGAGAACAGACCTAAGCTACTTTTTCTTTCCCTTTTTGGTGTCCGTTAAAACTCTTAGTTACCCATCAATCAGTCTGCTGTTGGTTTACAGTTTCAATTTGTTTTGGGCAGAGTTCTGAAAAGTATAAGAAAAGTGTGTGGTTCAGTCATGAATTTAAGATTTCTGCCAGCCACAGTCTACTTGGTGATGAAATTCACGGTTGATTGTGTCCCACATGCTACCTTTTCTAACTGATATAGGTCTTTTCCTTCTGGAATAATCTATCAAACTCGTGATTTTAATATTCTTTTTGTGGGGAGGCCTAACACTTTGTTCGTCAGCTCAGGCCCTGGTCCCGCCCTGGCTTCTGCTCAGAAGATCTTCCCTGACTTTGTTATTCTTTAAGAAAGAGAGAAATGAGGGTCAGTGGTGCCTATGTAAAAGTCTTATTAAACATTCTATTGGGCATATGGAGAATAGGGTGGAAGTCAACTTTTACAAATACGTATTAAAATAATAGGAATGCAAAAGATAGCTTCAGTGCTGTAGAATTACAGTGTTAATATTAGCGTTAAAGATGTTCTACGTTTTTAGATAAGCACCACTTCCTGCCAACTTTCTCTTCCTTCCTGGTCTCGTGAGCTCTCCAGTTGTGCTGCTATTCTCTGATGTCTTCTATAGTGAGATCATTACATTTTGACTTCCTAAGATTATAATCAGAATCAATGGGAGAACTGTTGTATCAGGAAGCAGTATAAGAGATGTGGGACGTGGCATGGTCTTTTGTGCCTTCTGACTGGTGGTTGCTATTAACGATCTTTTGTTTTCTATTTTTCCTCTATTGAAACTACAGGATGCTTTTTTAAAGCATTACTTTTATGAGATAGGAAGAGAAGTCTTTTCAGTTCGTCAAGTTTCTGACTTTCTTTTTCACTTTGAAGAGTATAGAGGGACAGAGAAGGGAACTTTTCACTTTGAAGAATATAGAGGGACAGAGGGCTCTTTTACCTGTGTGACCAAGACAAATAATTGACTTAGTCTCTCTAGATCCATTTCCTTATCTATGAAATAAGGAATAACATTCCTTTTCTCAGGATTATTGTGAGGACTAAATGCCTATTTATAAAGAACCCAGGACAATGTCTAATACCTTATAGTTACTCTAAAAATAGTAGTTCTTAATAGAGCAAGTAAACACTTAAAAGAATGTTTCTCAGATCCTTATCCCATTACTAGTTATTTGTCTTCATTGTTTATTTTAAGGCGTTAGAGTGTTGTTACAATTCATAATCGTTTTTGGTACGTTGTTTGTTAAAGAGGAATATTGCTCAGCTGTGTGCTTTTAGCAGGGAACCCCTAGGAGCCCCTGGTTATGGGAGAAAACTAAGATTATTTTGATAGAAAGGTACTTTGACTTAGAGAAAATGTTAGGGCATTTTCTCAAGAATAGAACTTTTGCATCTGTAGTCTTTCAATTTTAGTGAAGAAAAATTTTCTTCTGGGTGGGAAAATGATACTAATGACAGTGCACTGGGTTCATGGCAACTTAAAAGTTTACTCTTTGCATATTGAAAGGTAAAAAATCAGCCGGGCTCGGTGGCTCAGCCTATAATCCCGCGCCTTTGGGAGGCTGAGGTGAGTGGATTGCCTGAGCCTGCGGGTTCGAGACCCACCTGGGCAACTTGGTGAGACCGCATCTCTACAATAAATAAAAAATTAGCCGGACGTGGTAGCGCGCGCCTGTAGTTCCAGCTACTTGGAAGGCTGAGGCGGAAGGATTGCTGGAGCCCAGCAGGTTGAGGCTGCAGTCGCCGGGAGCGGCCACTGCACTCCAATCTGGGCGACAGAGTGAGACTCCGACTCAAAAAAAAAAAAGAAAGGTAAAAAATCAGTGATGACAGGTTACTTTCAGTTTCTTTGATCATGTTTCAGCGATCTTAGTGACAACAAATAGGAATTTTTGTTAAATAAAATTGCCTAAGTTCAAAATTAATGAAACATTCTTTTCTAAGATAATAGCTTTATTGAGGTATAATTCGCATGCAATAGAATTTACACTTTTAAGTTGTACAATTCAGTGGTATTTAGTATATTCATCCATAGTATTCGATGGTTTTGTGCAACCATCATCACTGATTTCAGAACATTTTTGTTACCCCAAAAAGAAACTCTGTACCCATTAACAGCCACTCCCCATTCTCCCTCCCTGTAGATCCTGGCAACTATAATCTACTTTCTATTTCAATGGATTTACCTACTCTGGATATTTCATATAAATGGAGTAATATGAGATTCTTTGTGACTAGATTCTTTTATTAAGCATAATGTTTTCAGGCTCATCCAGTTGTGTCCTATATCAGTACTTCATTCCATTTTATGGCTGAATAATATTTCACAGTGTAAATACAAATTTTGTTTATTCATTCATCAGTTGATGGACATTTGGGTTGTTTTCATTTTTTGGCTGTTATGAATAATGCGTCTATGAACGTTCATGCACGGTTTTTGTTTGGACATGTTTTCCATTCTTTCAAGTATATATTCAAGTGGAATAGCTGTGTCATAATAACTCATAACATCTTTCTAAGTTCTCAGTTATTCACAAGTGCCCCATGTTCTTGTACATCAATTGATTATTGTATTGATGCCTGGAAGATAGGAGGCAGTATGTACCATTGTGGTTAAAAATACAGGCTCTGGGGCCAGGCGTGGTAGCTCAAGCCTGTAATCTCAGCATGCTGGGAGACCAAGGTGAGGGGACTGCCTGAGCCCACGGGTTCATGAACAACCTGGACAACTTGGGGAGACCTCATCTCTACAATAAATCAAAAAATTAGCCAGGTGTGGTAGCACATGCCTGTAGTTCTGACTACTTGGAAGGTTGAGGTGGAAGGATCACCCGGGCCCAGCAGGTCGACGCTGGGGTGGCTGTGAGCATGAAACTGCACTACAGCCTGGGCGACAGAGTGAGACTCCAACTCCAACTCGAACTCCAAAAAAAAAAAAGAGAAAGCAGGCTCTGGAACCCAGCTCTACTACTTTCTAGTGATCCTGTGGAAGTTAATTAACCTCTGTGCCTCCTCAGTATCCTCATCTGTAAAATAGGGATAGACTCTATAGGGATAACCCCATAGGGCTGTTATGAGGCTTAAATGAGAGGATGCATAACAAATGGATTGAAGGTACTCAATAGTTATTATAAGGATGATAGTTATGATTATAGTAGCTTCAGTTTTTGTTTTCTCCCCTTGCTTTAATTTCTGAAACTGGAATTAAAAAACTTTGATCAGTGGTATGTCTAGAGCCACCAGTGAGTCCTGGGCAGAAGAGAAAAACAAACGCCACTACTCATTATTCATCAGGCAGAGGGTTTGTGCAGGCACAAAAAAGCCTATGCAGGGCAACTGTGGCTACCAAGTGATTTTTGAGCAGTGGGTTTCAAACTTTAGTGCGTCACCTGGAGGGCTCATTAAGCCATACATTGCCAGGCCCCACTTCCAGAACTCCTGATTCATTCAATAGGTCTGAGGTCTGGACCCAAGAAGCTGAGTTTCTGACAAGTTCCCAAATGCTGCTATTGCTGCTCGTCTGTGGGCTGCCCTTTAAGGCCCACTGAGAAAAGAGCCCTGAATTAGATTAGAAAAACCTGAGTCCCGGTGCTGGAACTCATATGAGTCCTGAACAATTAATGTACCTCCACGTGACTGTCTAGTAGACATCTCAAACTTAACATGTCCAAACAGAACTCTTTTTTGAGACAAGATCTTGCTCTGTCACCCAGGCTAGAGTGCAGTGGCCTGATTATAGCTCACTGCATCTCTGAACTCCTGGGCTCTAGGGATCCTCCTGCCACAGCCTCCCAAGTAGCTAGGACTACAGGAGCACACTGCCCCACCTGGCTAATTTTTTTGTTGTTATTTATAGAGTCAAAGGTCTTACTATGTTGCCCAGGCTAGTCTTGAACTGGCCTCAAGTGATCCTTTTGCCTTGGCCTCCTTAAATGTTGAGATTACAGGTATGAGCCATTGTACCTGGCCTCAAACAGAACTCTTGATTTTTCCCATGTGCCCCCTCTGCAAATCTGCTCTTTCCATCTCCTTTAATGGTCCCACCATTCACCAGCTTCCTTAGGCCAAGAATCCTAATGTCTTTGATTCTTGTCTTTTCTGTCCTGCCCCATCCAGTTCATCAGCAAGTCCTGCTGGCTCCTCAAAATATATCCCAAATCTGAACTATTCTCACCACTTCTACCCCTACTACGTTGGATTAGACCAAGTCCTCTTTTGCCTGGACTACAGCTGTCATCTC